CTTACTATGTATGCACTCTTTAACAAAGACCGATACGTCGTGGACCACAGCGGTTACAATGTTCAGCTAGAGCCTCCCTCGTCAGAATGTCGTCGATACAACTTTGTAGCTTAGTTCGACGGTGGCACGATCTCAATAATCTTCTTCTCGCGAGGCGGCAACGGCTGTCTATTTGGCTGAAATACAATCCAATGAATGCTTGAAGATGCAGAAGCCCAAGTATGGCTCGACTCATATTTCTATCTTTTCATTGTAATACGACTGGATGAACAGTACACTCACCTGCTGAGTGGGATCGAAGTACACCACATCAGTTGGCTGACGAGGTATGCTGAAGTTGTGCTGCGGTGGCGGCAGAGGAGGAGGAACTGTCATCGGAGCCGGTGGTGGCAACATCTCGCCTCTCTGCTCCGAATAGCGTTTGGGACCTGTGAACCCACGAGGCGGGTACGCTTCAGCATAACCGCCGCGAGGCGACTGTGGAAGAGCACCACGTGAGCGGCCAGCGTATCCACCTCGAGTTGCATAACCGCCTCGAGTGTCGTAATAGCTTCCACTTTCTAAAGCTGAACATACAAAACAATACAACTGTGCGTCAACATCCGCACTAAGTTGTGAGGCAGCTGTCACAAAATGCGCAAAAAGTATGGACCGCCCTTCCATTCACAATACGGCCAAAATGAGTGACTTCAGGGAAGCTCATAAACTTTCGCTGCATGAAGAAGCTACTTAATGTGCCACTTACCCCTTGGAGAGTAGCCAGCATTCCTTTGGGGAGGTGCCTCTTCGCGCTGATAGACGGACTCACGCACGTCACCACTTCGTGCCGATGCAGTAATTGTCCGCGTAGACAATCCGCGCGATGCTCCGTAAGAATTGCCAGCTGGAATATAAAGCTTCGAATCGATTACCCCTCACATATCGGAAATGAAAAAGAACACAATAAACAAGCAACTGTTTCGCTTTTGCTTCGTATTCACCGGAACTACATTGATTGATCTTCATTTATTGACGCCAGCGCGCTTTTTTTTCCTGTGGGGTGACGCGATTCGATATCGGATCATGCCGTCCCACGAGCCAGTTGGTGGGCGTGTCGCGTCGATAGCGCCGCCGTGATGGTCACATTTAGATCGCCAGGGGCTGCTCACTGCTAATTACGCATCGATTCGCACCTTTAGAGGGTCCGCCTGTCTTTTCACTAGGTAGATTTCCCATTCTTCGACCTTTGATTGTGAATATTTTCTTGAGGAGACCGTTTTTCGAGGTCATCCCTTGAATCCGACCATTCTCTAACCAAACAGTCTCGGAAGATAACCTGTGGCGAACAACTACCGCCGATACAACAGTGAATGACTGATATTTATTTTTCCACTGGAAATTCAAAAACTGCCAGAAAAAGTTCTCCTTCACCGCAGCCCAAGCTAATCGAGACCTATGTTCCTCGGTGAGAAAGAGGTGTGTCAAAATTCGGGGAGTCATACCGGGAATGCAGCCAGAAAAAAGAAATTCACATGAAACCGGAGCACATTTCGCGAGGGAGTCAAAAGTAATGTTAGCGACAATGTGGGGCGATCATAGGAGATTTCATTGGACGGAGGTGTCTACCACAGGACCTCCACCGTCGACGACCGGTTTACGTAGCACTAATTATTCCGGGGTAAAATCAGAACACACGCCCTAGAAGCATCGGATAAATTTTTAAGCTGGAGTAAGTGAATAAGATGAAATCTGAGAAAAGTCCCGAAAACACTTCTTGAGACCTCCCGTGTTTTCAATGGTTTAAAGCTGTTTCTACAAAGTATGCTAGATGAGAAACACATGCGAATGTCAGTCTTTACGATGGAATAGAAAAAAAATATTATCAAAATATTCAGTTCTTCACCTCTTATTTGCCAAAGCAGCACGTTCAAATAGGATAGCATCCCAGAGTGGACTATGAGCGCGTTTTAGTGCCTCAATGTTCTGCCTTCATGTCAGAATATCGATGTCGCCACCACGATTACCGCGAGTGCGCAACAGGGTAAACGTCGGATCAAACTGCGATAAAATGACAGGGCTAGAGAGTAAACCAACCAACCCATTGCAGACTACCACAGCTCACGCTATCTCAGTCTGGCGCTTCTTTATTTTCAGTAAAAGTGTTGTAACCTATCGGGTTCCTATTTTCCTGCTACCCGCCCACCTTCTTGCTGCACCCACCAGCTGTGAGACTATCATCAAGCGGAGTAGATGGGATGACCTGGACGCTGGCTCAGTTCCTGTTTTTGCTGACGATCAGTTTCTTCCATCTTCATCCTCCGAAGCAAAACCCAGGAAAAGCAAACTACTAGCCAGACAACCATGTTCCAAGAAAAATCAAAAACGTTACAAAATACGGCCTTTTGCTGGAGTGTTACCACGGCTGCTGAATATTAGTATCTATACATCTCAGAAATGTTATTTTCTTGCATGGCAAGGAAACAGAGGCTGGGAAACCCAAACCAATGTATAAACGTTATTCAATGGTGAGACCCTGTGCTACAAAAGCTTAACGATGGTTCAGCAAATCACGTCTGAACCCGACATTACGCGACCACTAATCCTGTTTATTCAGAAACTGTACGCCTGAGAACGGCTCGTCTCATACCATAGCAATGAGGCCCCCTTCAAATTCCACCTATGTTTGCAATTTCTGTATACTTGACATGTCTGTCGAAATACCATATTAGGGCAAAAATTTGCTGATATTAGTCAGTCAATAATAATGGCAGTTTATCACCTGGAAACAGCTTTGTCTAGCAGCGCGTCCCATCGGAATAAGTGATTTTTCACACTTCAAAACATTGATGGTCCAACAAATTAGCTGGACTGGCATAAGAAATGGTTCCAACAAGTCACCTCATAAAGACAGAAAAAGTCATCGGTTCATGGAGGCAAGGGTTTGAGTTGGGACTAGCAAAAAATAGGCAGAGTCACAAGTGAGTAAAGAGCTGGCTGCATTTTTACAAAAGATGCACTGCGAGTATCCCTTCAGCATCTATGGACGCCCAGTGAATTTGACTAATTAAAAAAGCTCCAGAACATTTCAAACGCACTTACCTCCTCTCACAGCTCCTCTCATAGCACCACGGCGATGGTTTTCATACCCCCTTTCCTCAACATGTCGGTCTTTCCTGAAGCGGTCTGAGTCCGCTTCACGATCCTTTTCATAACGTTCCCTAGAAGAATCACTATTTGATCGAAGAATTGGCACGAATACTGTCCTAATCACTTGTTATTGCACCGAATTAAATGAACTCTCCTCCCCTGGTTTCTTTGGAACACATGATTCAGAGAATATCTCATATCGCCGATATAGGAAATGGGAAACTAGAATGAGGGAAAATTGCTATTCTTGGGAATACGTTTTGGTCTGAAATCCTACCACGGTTCCATGAAAAAACCATTCTCTCAAGAAAACCGCAACAACTTCAAAAAGAAGCCTGAACTCAAAAACTTGATTTTGTGCTTCACGTGCTCCTCAACAAAAACATAATAATTAAAAACAATCCTCCACCTACACATATACCTTTTGGTCGTTTTAACCTATTATTTACATTGCAGCTCGAGTGGGGAGGCAATTTCCTGCTGGTGGGACATTGCGGCTTTATCTGGGGCGCAATAGAGGAAAAGTCTTTTTGCGCAGGTTCCAAATTTATTACGATAACATATTCATTAGAAAAGAATTTTAATACTTCTGGTAATGATGGCCCGTCCATTTTTTCCCTACGATGTTTTTCTCAACGCTTTTTCGAAAGTGATTTTCTTAAGCCAAGCTTGTTATTTTCGAATGTATCAGCTGGTTTTTTTTTTTGCAGTAAGCTTGAAACCGGATCTGATTGGGAAGAAGAACTTCCAAGCTTGCTCCGGAACACTCCCTTGGCCCAACGAAAAGATTGACGCTTGATGGAAACATAGGCAAAGATTTTAAACGTACAAAGCCCCAACACGGCATTATAACCCAACACATTTTGTTGGATGGGTCCCAGCACAATGGCGCACTTTCTAAAAATGTCGAAAAGCAGTCCCACGCGGCACACCTACGAAAAATCGCATTGTAGCCAATGCGTTAAAAACGTGGCGATGTGTACCAGCGGAGAATTTGTGTGCAGATCTGTACTTTCCCATTGAAAAAAGTAATATGAAACACGACAATTTTTCACAAACACGCTGAATTTGAAAATGTGCAGCGGAAACTTTGCGTTTTCCTCAGTTTCCACAAAGACAGCAAAGCCAAATATTGTTTCGAATAGCTGGTGAGACAATTTTCCTTTCATAAGTGGGGCCAGGTCCCCCCTCCGTTGATTGCTCGTAATTTAAACGCTGATTGAATAGGAATCTAAAAGTCTCCCCCAGCCGAACTATTCCACGAACACCGCCCAAAGGCACTGTCACCTATTTCAAGAAGGATGTTACGTGAGTTTGGACGTGGAAATGGTTAGGTTTGTCTCATACAAAAGAACGGTGACCCTCACGAAAGCGACTAGAGAAAAGTATCGCGGCGAAGAGCGCGCCCGCTTTAGCACTTAACCAATCCTAACCCCTGCAAGAGCTGCCGTAGCGCGGCTCGCCTCCAAGTGAAGAACTCCGGGTATGGTTGACAGAATCCTGATCCTGTTAGGATCGTTGTCATTTTAGTGAGGCCCGCCTTCAACCCACTGCAGCGAAGCCAAATCAGTTTCAGTTCTCATCAAAATTATCATAGGCGTATAGCAGTCGTTAAGATCGAGTTACTGAGGTGATCGGTTTACAAGACAAACTTTCCTTTATTGTAAGACTCGTGCTAGAAAAGCGAGAAATATGGTAATAACCAAGAAAATTTGCATCGAAATTAATGAAGATTACTGTATAAAACTCCATAAATGCGCTTCACGGCGGCCCCCTGATTAGAGTAATAGATGATCAATATCAGAGATGGAGTAAACAAAGTTGTGGTGCAAGCGCTTAAATAAATTAATCTACACGAAGAAAATAAACCTACTTCATGCGCCCGCGTGATGTCTATCCATTCGATGTGCGCCTATGCCACCACGGCTGCCACGTACATTGCGAACAACACGAACATCCACACGCTCGTTTCGATCACGTCGATGCTCCGAACGAATTTGGCGTCGCTGACCCACGTGCAGATCATCATCGTCGTCGTCATTTACCCGTCTCTCGCTTGTCACTCTTTCATCTAAAAGAATAAAATTGAGGAGGCTAGCAGTTGTAGTATCGGTCCCTAATCCTTGATCAGCCCGAAATCTAGGCACACTTGCACTTCATTGTACAAATACAATGAAAAGCATCGCACCAAGAATTGACTAACCGTGTAGCATGTGCGAAAAAAGCACCAAACGCTAAACTGGTCACATGATACACCTGACAATAAGAAGCTTTTAGCTCTCACGAATCAGAAATCATTAGTAGTAAAGCCTTACAGGAATCTTATGAAGGCATTACTACTGCATTTGAAAAAACAGGGTTAGAAACACACGGCAAACACTTCAAAGAAACCCTGAAATCAGAATTCAAACAATATTTCACCATTTCCCAACAGCATTCTAAAATTCAATTCCTCCCCAATACTCGAACCCTCGATAGAACCTGACCAACACGAGTCATAACAAACGCTTTGCAGTCACGCTCAACATTCTTCGCTGAGATTGACCCCTTTATAGAGTACGGTGATTTACCAAGCAAATCTCATACGATTCCGACTATCGCAATCAAGGAAAATTACGAGATTGTCAACTAATTGCCCCATTCCACATCCCATACTGTAACTGATCACACTCAAATCCATGAAAGGCCTATACTTCGCTTGTTACCGTGTCATTCAACGTCACACTGTTTTGTTCAATGCCATCGATAGCTGGCCGTTTAACTGCCTTGCGACTGACTGGCTTTATCCACCCAATCCGGCAACCATGCCATTGTCGCTATTCATCGAAAATAATACACTCCTACTGCAAACGGATGCGCACACATGACAGTAAAATTTTATTTCTACTAAAATTATTCCAATCGATGGAGAACATTCAGAAGTTGAATTGTGAGATAGTGCGTAAACTGTGTCTTACGCGTATCCTAAGGCTCCGAGAGTCCAGCCACAAATCTTGACAAGCTCCCACCCCTTTGTCGTCTTTCAATAGAGTTAGTCAACAATGAGTTTTGCCAAACTCACGGAAGGTGAGCAAAGCAGTCTCTCATGGACCGAGAGTGGAGTTTAGATGTCACTCAGGACGACGAGGCAACCGATTTTACGCAATGGGGAGCCCCCGGTCCTAGCTTTATCACTGATTCCTTTTTCGACATTAGACATGATTGCTGTGACAAGGTCTTCACCAGCCGGCCTGTCAACCTGGGCCTGACGCTGGTACTAGAACCATTTTTGCAATTTTTGCAGGGCATGGTTTAACCTCGGCAGGGATCGAACTCGCAGCTTTCAGATGCCACACACGAATGACTCTGTAACCACTAGCCTTATCACTGCCAGTAGCGGCCGTGGATATTGGGTTTTCTCTCATTGTGTGAAGGTTGGATGTCCCTAGGTGGAAAGTAGAGGTTTTTTTTTTTGCAAGTATTTCGACGAGACACAGCTGTACAGATGGCCTGGCTGAGTCAACGGAATGGTCGTTCCCTTGTGGTTTCAGAGGGAGGCTTAAGGTCAACAATGTTTTAATCGAAGATTGAAGATCGGGTCAATTGTTAACGACGGCAGGAATTGGATGATACTAATTTTTGCCTCATTTGAGTCTTCTAAGGTCGAAAATTATTTCCTACAGATTCTACCATATTTCCTGAATAGTTGCCTCCTTGCCATTGTTTTTTATGTAAATAGATGTTCATAAATGGCTAATAATATTTATGAGTGATTGTTATGTAAGGTGGAAACGAGAAATCACCACAGTTATATATGACCCATAGCTGTCACGAAACCGTGCTGTCACAAACAAAACCAGGGGCGGTATTCAATCCTTCCCCCAGGGGGATATATCCCCCTCCTCTGATTCAATCCTCTGGGGGGACAAAAAAGGGTTGCGTCATAGGACCTAGCATACCTCTGTGTTTCTACCTGCCAGACAGTTAGAGCAGCGCTACTACCCTCCACTGATGAAGCACTCTTTCCCTGAGGGGTCGCGCTGCTCTAACTGTCTGGCAGGTAGAAACACAGAGGTATGCTAGGTCCTATGACGCAACCCTTTTTTGTCCCCCCAGAGGATTGAATCAGAGTAGGGGGATATATCCCCCTGGGGGAAGGATTGAATACCGCCCCATGTGTTTGTCGTATTTTTAAAATTCCAACACTTGAGATAACCCTCGGGACGGTTTTGACTCAGTTCCAAACACTACTCCCGACCACCTGTTTCTATGCCAGTGTAAAATTTTCTGCAACTCCGCAAAAAAAGGCAAATGAGAAATGCACTAAAATATAACATGAAAAATATCCAAACATAATTGATGGCTGTAAGACTAACCTCCACAAACTTCAGGTCTATTCCTAGATGGACTCTCATAAAGTTCAAAGATGAGAAACGGTAAACGAAAACGTTTTCGAAAAAACGAGAAAAAGGAAATGTAAAGCTTCATCCACAGCAAGCATGACGGCAAAATTTTAATAATCATTCATCGGTTGTGATCCCGCTTACAAAGACCCACGCCCACTGATTCCAAATTCATATGCAAAATGAAAAAGTTGCTATATTACTGAAACCTGTTCGAAAAAAAATAAGCAGACAAAACTGCCATCAAAAAATTCGGGTTAACCTACCACTATTTCCATGAGACGACTTTTCCTCAACAGATTGTCTTTCAGGCTTCACCGCAACCGGCTTTTGAGGTCGAGGTTTTGCCACAGCTTCTCCGATCCTTTCGGATCGTTGTCTGGGCTTCGGTCGTACTGGAAAGCAGTTATTGAGAAGAAAGCGTCTAATTTAAAAATGACATGATTAATCAACGTGAAATTGCAAGCGACAATAACTGGTAATCATAGCGACTCACTTTCCCTCTTTAGTCGCCTCTTCACGCCAGTTGATTCTCCATCCCTAGCTACTTCCTTTTTGGCCTAAATTCGAAATAGAAAACTATATTTTCGGAATATTTAGTTACTCTGGGAGAAAATACAGGAAGCCGTGTAGCAGATCAAATAAGCTTCACCAAATGCAGATTAGTATAGAAAAAATAGAATAGAACAGTAGAAAACCAAGAAGTTCAGAACCAAAAAAGAAGAATAGTGTGAATGGTCAGTAGTAGTCCCCACCAAGCAAAAAATATGTGTTAAAAATAAAATACACTACTAAAGATTTGTGAATAAACAAACATCCTCGGAACGTTTCCGCTGCTCGGCCTCTTCTTGAGTCTCCCCTTCGCGAATATCGAAGCCATAGCGTGTCATAATCTGCTTCTTTGTTTTGGGACGCTGCCATCGCTCATCAAACCTAAACAGCTGATTGGAACGAGAAAATCAGGAGCACAGGAGAAATAGAATATTATCGTGGACAGAAGTTAACACGAACGTCAACGTATCCCGTTACCTATCATGCTTCCAAGTTCCATCTGCTCTGCTTATCTTCTTGTCTTCTTCTACTTCTTCATCTGCGTCCCGAGAATCATGCATATAGTACCTACCTGAAAACCATTTTTTGTGCTAAGCGGTGGTATTTGAGGCTACGAACTGAGCTGTTGGGAAGGTAGGGAGACATGAAATTGGAAGCAAATGAAAAAAAAACAATAAGAGAAAAAGTACCTTTATCGCACGGTAATGTTAGCTTGGATTCTGTCCTTCGATTTCGTCATCGTCGAGTTTGACATCACCTCAAAATGTGCCATATTGTGTTGATATATGCATTTCATATTCACTATTCAAGAGCTATTCGCCAGTACTCATGAGTATACCCGGTCACACATTATGCACGCAGAATTGTAAGGGTGTGGTTCTCTAGGACAGAAAGCGACTTCTTCGCGCTTCGTAGCGCCAAACATTTCGCTGCGAGAACTCCAGGTCCAGTCACGATCAGTGGTTGAAGTGAAGTTCCCACAGCTAAAAATGTTTCGTGTTACGAACGCGAAAAAGTTGTTTGTGTCGTAGCGATCCACAGCCGAAGTATAAAGAAGCGAACACGTAAAAATCGAAATGTTAATAACTGAGACACTAAGGGAGGCGTTCAGTTCTCCTCCTAGAAGTCTCCAGAGCTGCGCGATCACTGACGCCTACTTGTGCTAGGGTCTAGGGGTGCATTGGCTTAACTTACACAATGGCTTATGCTTGAGCCTGTGATTGGGTGTAGGCATAGCACTCATTCGAGCAATGAGTGGTGTCTTAATTTTGGGTGAGGCACCTAGACACTGACAGCCTCATGGGTATCGAAAGTAGGCGTGAAAATTGGAAAGCAAAAGATGAACAAATCGTTTGAAACAAGACATTCACTTCAGAATGTAAACCACCAGTCCACTAGCAATGTGTGCCCATAACAAACATAAATTAGTAGCAACTGGATTTACTAAACCTTTATTTATTCGAAATTTATCACTACTAATTAAGAAAATAGCGCACACGCTGCTGCGACTTAGGGGGTCACCTCGGAGACTGAATAGGTTGAGAAGCGAAGATGAATAGCTGCTGTCCTCATCCATTACTCAACACAATCTTTACCACAAAATAACTAAGTTTCTCTTAATATTGAAGACTCAGTCTGTTTTTCCCATGAATATTCACATGTTGTTCTCTACCTAAAGAGGGATAGATGACTGTGAAAATCATACTGATTTTAACTGCTTCTCGTAATGAATAATTCGATGTGAAATTCACGCACATCCTGACACAAGGACATCTATCCCATACGATCCTTTAGAGCACGACAACGATACGGATTTTGCTTTGTCACTATGGAGAGAAATGAAGTTGCGTGCTCACACTCACATTCACTCACTCGATCAAAAGGTATCTCATTTCACAATGATGCGTATTATATCTATTACTACACTTTGAAAAAATTCTTGCCCATCATGCTCCGCAACGCTTAAATTATGAGGACTCCCAGCGCTTTGCGTACAGCGCAGGGTCTGATCGCCCAAGATCAACAGTAGCATGGCATACTCGCACCTTACAACATGGAATACTTCTTCAAGAAAACTGCTAAAGCTCAGAGAAATCTTAGTTATTGCACTGACATTCGCCGTTTTACCAAAAGAGAAACACGCAACGAGCACGGCACGCATTCTCCCATAACTTCCAACTATTTCACATTGAAAATATGAGCCAGGAGGAAAACGCCTACTCCACTAGAAGCAGCAACTTCCAAATGAACGCGGCAAAGAAAGTTACATCATGCAGTTGCCAGCTTTTTCGATAGCTTTGCGAATGTGGTCGGCTATAATCCCATTGAAAGTTTGGGGGCTAATCAATATCTGTTGGTAGCCAAACGGAACTGAACTTTAGGAGGTGTTTACTGCCCTCGTGAGATTTCAGGAGATACGGTCAGTATTTCAGCGTTATCCATATCCCGGTTAATTGAAAAATGTGGTCTTTGCACATACCTTCCGCGGCTTCCTTTGCACCTTCATCGGTCGCCTCTGGTGTATGGAAACCGTCATCACCATTTTCTCTGGCCTATCAAAGACAAATTATGATCTCCGCAGCACCTATGGAATAGCTATGAAAAGAAAACACCGGAAAAGCAGATACTAACGTTATCACTTCTTGCATCCTGCTCTGATTCCGCTGGTTGTTGCGTGGATTCAGATGATTCGCTGATCTTCACTTCCGACATTTTCTTGATGGTCTCATCATCAGCCGATTTCTCCCCATTTTCAGCAATGACCGGTGGAGCGGATGCTGCCTCCTCCGACATGGCTAAAACATTTCGATAATTGACAAGTCACATGGAGAGACCTTCATGTGCTTACGATTCTGAGCGCACACAGAAAATAAAAAATTTTCTTTCCAATCCCTCAACGGCTGAAACTTTCTTACATTCACGGAAAAACACATTGATTTTCCAACTCTTCATCGCCAACTAGGGTAGCGCAAACACGGAAACATGCTGCTCCCGCAAAACTTCGATTTAGCATGAAACCACGAATGCCGGCAATCAAAATGTCGCGCTTTCTGCCCAGTAAACCACACCCTTCAGTCACAATGGCTAAAAATATTTCCAATTCACTAAAACAACTTGGGTGTGTCGGTTTGTCGGTGTGCCAGTCGTTCTGTCCGTCCGCAAAATGAGTGAGTGATAAGAAACTAATGGAATAAACAACCCGCTACCAAATCTGGGTACGCAGGCTTGCCTATCTAATGTTTTGCACATGGCACTGATTGATAACACAGTTTTTACAATCGCCGATATAAACACTACTTGCCCACTATCCGTCATTTCCAGTGAGAAATAGCAAGAAAGCAGAGGGGAGGAGGAACGCTCAAACTACACCGAGCGAAAAGGTTTGCGTTCGATTGTCGGGGGACCAACCTGGTCGGTAAAAAATTCGGACTCCTCTTACGATGTCTGCGAATTGTTGGGATCCGAATTTTGTATAAAGTGCTTGGGAAGTTGGAATCTGTAAGGCTGACGTCAGAGTCCGCGATCCGTCGCGCGATTCGGCGAAATCAAAAAAAATCGCTGGGGCCTTTCTCAATCTGAATTAGGTTGCCCATCAACCATCAAAGCTGAAATGGCAGCGGGAATGGGAGCGCAACCTTCAATATTGACTCGGGCACTTTCGATTTTCTTGATCCGTCGCGCGACGTCGCGGACTCTGACACCGACCTAAAGGTTGCTATTCGATAAGTCTGAAAAAACTATAAGACACCTGCTTGCGTGCAACGATGGTAGCCATCACCGAGCGCTAGGGCTCTGCACCGAGATTGACTGGGTAGATTCGATTTCCGTCATTTACACCCACCCTTTTCGATATGAACACAACATGTATAGAACAACAACGACCTCAACGACACTGTGCAAGGGGAATTTCTGAGGATAACTGAGCCTTACGAACTGTTGGTGCACATTTAGTGAAAAGAAGAAACTCTGAGAATGGAAAACCAAAAGTGAAAACACCATCGCACATATGTACGATATAATAAAACGAATCGATCTGAATGGAACCTATCGAAAATTCTCCATTCTTACTCTACTTCTACTAGTAGTTCTACAGCAAAAAAGAAACCAAGGCAAATGCACAATGTATTCGAAGTCACGTTGGAAACGCTAACGACAAACATATGCGTGCGCTGAGGAATCTTCGCGCCTTGAAATGAAAACCTCTTATCGATAGAAGCACAACAGCACTTGTCTTACAAATCTAACAAAACCACAGACTAAGATCAAACCTCAAACTTTAGTAGAAACATTTGTAAACAATAAAAATGCACGCACGAAGGCCCTGAAGCAGCATTTGTGTCCACTGAAATTTTGGGCCAGATAAAAAACGGTAAGTATCCCAGATTTGAACTTTCTTTGCTTATAGCTACTAATCAACTACATGACAACGACCTCTTGTATGCTTGTCAAACTATCCTCGTGTCAAACTACGACCTTTCCTCGAGCAAACACAAGCCAATCGCGTACTCGTCTTCACATCTCAGTGCGGCTTCCATAAATAATCATTTGGTAATCTTTCAAAATACCTCTCAGTAATAAAATCCACGCAATTGGTGATAGGAGCTGCCGAAATTCCTCGCTGCCGGTGATTATCGGAAGCTTTCGCAACCGAATTTAAAGGACGCTCGCCATGACGGTGGTGATGGTGGTCCCGGAACGATTGTGTCGTCTAGCTCGCACTCTCATTCTTGAAGCCTAGCCTAAAATTTCCTACGGTCTTTTTAGCTTTTTAAAGCTACATTGCAGGAGTTAGTTCACAAAACTACATCTTTCTGCTAGAAAATAACTCTAGAAGTAAGTCTACAACTTCCGGTTGCTTAGTGACGCTTTTTCCTGCCTTGTTTCCGAGTTTTTGTCCATTTCGCGCCATTGTGTCGTTGTTCGCGGTCTAGATTTGAAGATTACCTGATTTCCCTTATCTCAATCGTGTCTATTTTCGAACCGTAGATTCGATGCTGCTGGAGGTTCAGCTCGGGATGAAATGGTTCATGTGAGGCGGAGGATCCCCTTGGCAGAGCAATGTTGACTCGAACAAAGTACTTTAATTTTTGCTTTTGGTGAGCATGATTGAGCCCTCATGTACAGCAGTACCTCCGGTGCAATGTGCTTTGGGGGGGGGAGGGGCACTTTGGAGGAAGACCACCAGCCCCGCCCCACCCTGCAGCCACTTTGCGCCGTGCCCGTGCATGTATCATGTTTTTGTAAGCAGGAGACATTTTGCCTCACCTGTTTGACGTTCTGTGAGGGAGTGCGAGAGAACGTGTGAAAGTAAGGTGAAGAAGGATCAAGAGATAGGCATGATAAAGTGTGGGTATATAATTATGTCTTTATTGCTGCGCACCTTGTGATGTAGTTTCAAATAAATAAATAATAAATAAATATAAGGCGTTGCTACTCTCTCGAATAAATCATTCGACTCCCAGTGGCTGTTCTTGACACGAGGTACTAAGACTCACCAAGGGTTGACCCTCATGCGTGTGAGACCGCAGATCACAGGGGGAGGGTGTGAGCGAAGTGCGAGGAGAAACCTTGTGAAAGCAAGGAATGAAAGAAGATCAGAGGCCCATTGATAGTGTTGGAGGGGTATATAAGGGTTCCTATTCTCTTACTAAAGTGGCATATCCACTCCCAGTGTTCTGTTCTGGCACTGTAACTCATTCTTCATGTTCTGAAACTGTCGCTACAAACCACCAAATCTTAGAAAACAATTTGTTTTTCCCAATTATGGGATCCCTGAGGGAGTAATGGAGAAATATCCAAAGAGAAGTAGCGAGAACTCACAGCGGATGTCGTCAATCTTTATTTCTGACAAAGACGTCGTCAGCCTTCCATTCATGATTTCATGAGTGCAGTGTGGGGATAATTTTCAAATGTTAAACCTTACTAGGTGCACCCTTCAATTTGTTCTTCGGTTTCTTGAGGCACCCTCAAAGTGAGTGAGAAGCAGCGCCATTCATCCTATTTTTCTCCACCTTTCTCAGACCTGTCGCTCCAATTTCGCTATTATATAGGCCTCAATCCAAAGGTCGATAGATCTGGTTGGACTTATCGCTGAATTTCCTCCGCTGTGTACGTACCTGTCGCTCGTTGACTTCTTTCCGATCCATCATGCTTGTTTTGAATGTTGTTTTTATTTCTCTTCTTTTCCCATCTGCACCGCTCTGCTATTCTCTCTCAGCTTCTTCGTGCCCAATGCCCGCGTAATAACTCGTATGGAAAGTACTTCAGAAACGTTTGAAAAATTATTGGATTAGAGTACTGACTATGATGATCGCGATGTTATTCAGAGTTTCTTGCAGAAAATTATCAATCATCAATCATTAATCCCAAATCGTTTGGTAGTAAGAAACGGTAACCATATCGAGTAACTCCAACTATACGATCCCTACTCGTATTTTTTCTTGTGCTCCCCTTCAACCCCCTTGACATCCCTGGATTGCCCACAGGTTTGGGTGAAATCCGTAGGGAGGAGGAAGTCTCGGACAAATGAGGACTGAAGTGAAACATGTAGGAACTCCCTGAACACAGCTCTCGCCCGCTTCTATTTTCAGCCGTCTTACTCCGCAGGTAAGGAGCTGTTTGCTACTCTCTACAATCTTTCCCCGCTAGTGAGCCCACTCCTGTCTGAATTGCTTGTTAAACATCGACTCTCATTTCGGAAATCTTAAGTTATGAACTGGAGGACAGTACATTTAGATGCGACTTTTGACATTATGATTTTCACATGTTTTTAGCGTTTCGTCTCCTTGATTTATTATGTTTGTTATTTTTGGAAGTGCTATTTTATCATGATTCAGACCATGGTCTTCAAACGTATGGTACAAATTGGTCGCGTTGTTTTCATCGCAAAAGGGAAGGACGCTGGAAAAATCGCCACAATTGTTGACGTTGTTGATGGCAACAGAGTAAGTTTCGACCGCTGCGCTCCATTTTTCTGGTTTCATCTGCATATGATTGTTTAGGTCCTCATTGACGGCCCCAGTACTGGTGTCATTCGTTGCGTTCGAAACCTGAAAGATCTGCAGCTGACGAAATTTGTTGTTAATGTTCGTGTCGGTCAACGAACAAAGAAAGTAAAGGAGGCATTTGACAGCTCTAAAATCAGCGAACAGTTCAAGCAAACCACATGGGCCAAGAAAATTGCGCAGAAAGCAATCGTGAGTTTATTTTCACATTGCTTGACGTCGTATCGGTTACTTTTCGTTATTTTCTACGTTTACTATGCAATAGTCGAACGAATACTTTTTGCTTTGCTTTCATTTTCTTAGACTTCACATGCGTTTTCGTTGAGGTATACATTAGCATTTAAACCCTGGTTACACAAAAATATGACAACTCTAATATATGTATGTATAAGGGTATGCCAGATGCACGATATGCTGCGATAAGTTCATTTTCCTCATTATGGCTTTAGTAACCTCCCTCCGCTGAGCCGGAAACTTTTAACATCATCCCTATCGTCATGCACAACGACTATCCCGACCTCTCGCGGTAGGATGTCTCTGAAACGATTGTCTATTCTAGTTTCGTCCCCCTATATGACGCATGCTCAAGCGAACCACAAAAAGTGTACGATAAACAAGCTTCGATATTGAGTTTTTGGTGAAATACTCATTGTCAAATTTCTTGCCTAATTTGAAAATTGGATCTTGAGGAAAAAAATCAATCGAATTTTGTCAAGCTTGATATCCGAAGTGTTAGGGGTGAATGGGTGTGAGCCATGTGCGTTGTGACCATATCTGACCGTACTATAATTTGGGAGTCGAGAGGGTCAAATAGGTGTAGCATTAAAAGTAAAGATGGCTGGGCGCTGCGTAAGGTTCTATTGTGGAGGAGTTGCTCTAATGTTCCAATGGATGCACTGGTGAATGTTTATCGTGTGAAGCCTTTGAGTTTTTGAATAGGTTTTTCATAATGGTTTTTGTGCTTTTATGGACCCGTGCACATAAAAAAGGATAAAGCATTTGCCGTTGATCAATCCCTTTTGGGATGCGGCACGCATTCTACTTCCATTTGTACATTCGTAGTGGCGTTTGAATGCGATGTGGCCTATACAATGACTTGCGGGGGCCAGCCGATGTACAAGTCAGTGTTTTATCCTCCCAGACAAGTCTGGTACCAATTAACCGACCCCGGAGGGATGGAAGGCTTGGTTGGCCCGGGCGACTCACGACCCAGGATTTGATCCCGGACCGCTCGCGTGGTAAGCGTGCCACTTGCCACTACACCACTTCCGCCCGCGTGCATATATATGAAGGAAAATTCGAACGGGTTAAGCTTGTCGGTTTAGGGATTGTTCACAAAAACAAACGCTGTTTGTTCGGTCTTTTTGTTTATATCGTGGAAAATGGCTGTCGTGCTACGATTTGATGCGTTCCGTGGATGGTTTTTCAAAGGAATGTGCCTCCTGGGTCGACGGACTACTTGAACTCAGCCCTTTAAACCGCCTCTGCGCTCTCTCGCGGGTCCCTCTCCTCTCCAAGGCTTAGTCCTAGGGCATTCACCCGTTCTCTAATCGTCTGTGCTCTAGCCATCGCGGCAGGACCATTGAGGAAAAATCAAGTAGTCCGTAAACCGTCAACCTGGGTCTAACGCTGGTACTAGAACCATTTTTGCAATTTTTGCAAGGCATGGAGAGCCTCGGCAGGGATCGAACTCGCGGTTTTTCAGAGGTGCAGACATGAGTCTAACCTCTTAACCACTCGGCTATCCCTGCCTCTGAAGCAAAAAATGCCTGGAAGCCTTGGTAGGACCTCTTTTGACATATCTTTTCCGTTAACGGTAAACGTACTTTGTCGGATAACGCACCTCTCATACTTCGAGCATTAGGAACATGTTGTTTCCGCGCACGGCTCCTATAAGTAATATTACTACAATATATGGCGAATCCGTTACTATCTCGACAGGTGAGAGTTGCGGCCTCTCTGCTTCACAGAGTTGTTCAGATGAGGACTACTCTTCTTACATTGAGGTACTGCAGAATGAAATTTTTTCCAGCCGTATCCACAATACCAAATATTGGTAAAGTCTTATTAGAAAGCGAACAGAACGTAGCTTCACAACATTTCTTCCGTTTTCAAAATTTACTTTTAAACTCGATGGTAATTTCATTATTTTTAGCATTTGCTTATTTCAGAGAGCAAAGCTGACCGATTATGAGCGATTTAAACTGATGAAGGCCAAGCAAATGCGCAATCGACTTGTGAGGGTTGAGCTCGCAAAGTTGAAGAAAGCTGCCAAGTGATTTATTCGTTGTTTCTGTTTCAATAAATTGTTGGTTTATTGATATTTAGTGAAGTTCTAAATTGTTTCTTTCCCTGTAGTAACATACTTCTAGAAAAGAGGAAAATTCTCGACCAGTGCACAGTAAATTGTCAGTGGTAAGTAGATTTTCCTAGTGATCTGGAACTTTTGTTTCACAAGAATGCTGGGTTGGGAACAAATTTTTTGTAATATTTGTCTCTAACGCGCGCGTCTTATGATGTTAATTGTACTTACATCACACGAATATTGATTAGAAAAATATGAAAGACACGTTGGCGCGACTTCTTGTCGCGCACAACATAGCTCTGAGTCAGTTAGCGGCGGTGCGGCAAAATTCTCAAATTTAACCCACTCGCCAGGAATATTCGACTTGTCATTTTGTACGTTGACGACACTGCCCCTGTGCGTTATGGCTTTTTCTTTTGGTCGCGTGGTACCGTGCGAGGGTTTCGCCTGCGGATCGGCTTCAAATAACCAATAATGTTCAGTGTGAAATGAGGGTTTTCGCAGTGTTATAATGACGAGAGTTTCGTCGCCCAAAGAGGTTCTGTGGTGGCGATGAAGAAAGAGAATTCCACTTTTTTTATCTGGGTAAAAGGAGTTTTCGATAATTATTTTGGCATGGTTGTGTTCAATGAAGTACGAACATCTTGCCCATCGGGACTAGATCGTTTTCTGTCCGTTCATATCATGTTTAATGAAAAAAAACGGGGATAGCACCGAATCTGGGTGTTTATCAAAGCCTAGGAAGTTTGACCAACTGAGGCCATATTTTACCAATACCTGCGAGCCAACCAACGTGCGTTTATTTTAATTCTTAATCGTATAGTCGATGAAGTGAATGAGGAAAAACTTGGAGGAATTGCGCATGTGCAGGAAATGAGGGTGTAACTGGTGTGGCGAACATATCAAGTCCCACATGAGCTGTAGAGACGAGAGGACAGAGTTGCCCCGTGCTGAAGCCAATGCGCTAAGTTGCTTTCCATCCGACTTTCTTCAGTGTCTGTGCTATATGAACTAATGTTGCGACTCTGAACTTCTGCTCCGGCTCATAGCAGCTGCTACCCCACCCCCTTAATGACTACGACGCTTCCCCCCTCTTCATCAGCCATTGCCTGCTTTTTCCCGCACGCCTTTGAGCCGTTCAATAAAGAATTGACCTCATTTTTTCACCCCCATCAAAACGCTTTTTGCCCGAATCCCAGGACTTCTTGGAGTCAAGTGAGTTTGGCAGCAAACTCCGCCGAGGTTTGCATGTACTTCTGCGAGCGCGGTTGACGAACTGTAGTAACCGAAAAGGTATTACCGTAAACATGAGCAGTAATTTACGAATCAATAGTCATGAACTGCATGTTCTGCCATCGGCCCGGTTAGCTCAGTCGGTAGAGCACCAGACTCTTAATCTGGCTGTCGCGGGTTCGAGCCCCGCATCGGGCTTAGCTTTTGCATGTACTCTGCTAGCGCGGTTGACGACGTGCAGTAACGAAAAGGTATTACCGTGAACATGAAGAGTAATTCAATAAACATGAACTGCATGTTCTGCCATCGGCCCGGTTAGCTCAGTCGGTAGAGCACCAGACTCTTAATCTGGCTGTCGCGGGTTCGAGCCCCGCATCGGGCTTAGCTTTTGCATGTACTCTGCTAGCGCGGTTGACGAACTGTAGTACCGAAAAGGTGTTACCGTGAACATGAAGAGTAATTCAATAAACATGAACTGCATGTTCTGCCATCGGCCCGGTTAGCTCAGTCGGTAGAGCACCAGACTCTTTAATCTGGCTGTCGCGGGTTTCGAAGCCCCCGCATCGGGCTTAGCTTTTTCCAATGTACTCTGCTAGCGCGGTTGACGACTGTAGTACCGAAAAGGTGTTACCGTAAACATGAGCAGTAATTCCACGAATCAATAGTCATGAACTGCATGTTCTGCCATCGGCCCGGTTAGCTCAGTCGGTAGAGCACCAGACTCTTAATCTGGCTGTCGCGGGTTCGAGCCCCGCATCGGGCTTAGCTTTTGCATGTACTCTGCTAGCGCGGTTGACGACGTGCAGTAACGAAAAGGTGTTACCGTGAACATGAAGAGTAATTCAATAAACATGAACTGCATGTTCTGCCATCGGCCCGGTTAGCTCAGTCGGTAGAGCACCAGACTCTTAATCTGGCTGTCGCGGGTTCGAGCCCCGCATCGGGCTTAGCTTTTGCATGTACTCTGCTAGCGCGGTTGACGAACTGTAGTACCGGAAAGGTGTTACCGTAAACATGAGCAGTAATTCTACGAATCAATAGTCATGAACTGCATGTTCTGCCATCGGCCCGGTTAGCTCAGTCGGTAGAGCACCAGACTCTTAATCTGGCTGTCGCGGGTTCGAGCCCCGCATCGGGCTTAGCTTTTGCATGTACTCTGCTAGCGCGGTTGACGAACTGTAGTACCGAAAGGTGTTACCGTAAACATGAGCAGTAATTCTACGAATCAATAGTCATGAACTGCATGTTCTGCCATCGGCCCGGTTAGCTCAGTCGGTAGAGCACCAGACTCTTAATCTGGCTGTCGCGGGTTCGAGCCCCGCATCGGGCTTAGCTTTTGCATGTACTCTGCTAGCGCGGTTGACGAACTGTAGTAACGAAAAGGTGTTACCGTGAACATGAAGAGTAATTCAATAAACATGAACTGCATGTTCTGCCATCGGCCCGGTTAGCTCAGTCGGTAGAGCACCAGACTCTTAATCTGGCTGTCGCGGGTTCGAGCCCCGCATCGGGCTTAGCTTTTGCATGTACTCTGCTAGCGCGGTTGACGAACTGTAGTACCGAAAGGTGTTACCGTAAACATGAAGCAGTAATTCACGAATCAATAGTCATGAACTGCATGTTCTGCCATCGGCCCGGTTAGCTCAGTCGGTAGAGCACCAGACTCTTAATCTGGCTGTCGCGGGTTCGAGCCCCGCATCGGGCTTAGCTTTTGCATGTACTCTGCTAGCGCGGTTGACGAACTGTAGTACCGAAAAGGTGTTACCGTGAACATGAAGAGTAATTCAATAAACATGAACTGCATGTTCTGCCATCGGCCCGGTTAGCTCAGTCGGTAGAGCACCAGACTCTTAATCTGGCTGTCGCGGGTTCGAGCCCCGCATCGGGCTTAGCTTTTGCATGTACTCTGCGAGCGCGGTTGACGAACTGTAGTACCGGAAAGGTGTTACCGTAAACATGAGCAGTAATTCTACGAATCAATAGTCATGAACTGCATGTTCTGCCATCGGCCCGGTTAGCTCAGTCGGTAGAGCACCAGACTCTTAATCTGGCTGTCGCGGGTTCGAGCCCCGCATCGGGCTTAGCTTTTGCATGTACTCTGCGAGCGCGGTTGACGAACTGTAGTACCGAATAGGTACTACCGTAAACATGAGCAGTAATTCTACGAATCAATAGTCATGAACTGCATGTTCTGCCATCGGCCCGGTTAGCTCAGTCGGTAGAGCACCAGACTCTTAATCTGGCTGTCGCGGGTTCGAGCCCCGCATCGGGCTTAGCTTTTGCATGTACTTTGCGAGCGCGGTTGACGAACTGTAGTACCGAATAGGTACTACCGTAAACATGAGCAGTAATTCTACGAATCAATAGTCATGAACTGCATGTTCTGCCATCGGCCCGGTTAGCTCAGTCGGTAGAGCACCAGACTCTTAATCTGGCTGTCGCGGGT